AGATTACGATCTTCCATTCGTTCGCTCGTTCCAATTATTTTGTCCAATTAAAATATCGATTTTCTCCCCCATCGCCGCGACTCTCGCGAGTTTGCCTTTTGCAGTGTCGCTCACTCCCCCCCCCCTCCCCCTTCCGCCCTTTCCTCCCTAGGCCACCCTCCATACGGTAACATCGACCGTGCCCAACCCCGTGATTCTTCCCCTTCTCACCCTCGCCTGTCCCGTTATACAGCCACCGCTTTCTCTCCATCGCTCTTTCTTTCCGTCTCTCTTCCTCCGTTACTTCCTCTCTTTTTCGTTCTCTCGCTCCCTCATCTCTTTCAGTCTACCTCTCTCTCTCTCTCTTTTTCTCTTTCTCTCCTTTTTCTCTCTTTGTCTCCACCTACGCTATTCCGGCTTCAATATTCAATTATTGGCTACGCGAGCGCTCGTGGACCACTCGCAAAAAGCGGGAAACGAAGTCGCTTACGGTTTCTGAGTGCACACAAACGGGCGCGTGTTTCACTGCCCTCCTACGGCCGCCGTCTGACTGTGCGACCAGGAGGAGGGAAATGGAGGGACAGAGAGAGAATAGGAAAGGGTGAGTCAGGTGGGAGGGTGAGACGGCGTGCTTCCTGGCAGAAATCTGAAACAAACGAGCAGCGTTCCGTCCGCCGTGGCTTTCCGTGCAAATGCGATCGTGCGCCGGGGTTCGCGGAATGGGCATGATACACGCTGTGACACGCAATGCTTCAAAGAGCCCAATCGAGTCGAAGGTACTTAAATTGAAACGCGACAAGCGCGGAATGCACGCCCGCGAGCAACGAACTCGCGAGATTACGAGATGGAATCTCTTTCTTTCTTTTTTACTAAAAAGTCTGTAATATAATTCTTATACTTATAAAATCGACAATAGACGAGAATGACTTGTAACATGCATTTATCAAATAATATTTTTTGTGTATCAATAATCGCGTATAATATTTTTATATTGAAATAATTATGTATTACAATTTCGCGAAGATACAAATAATAGAACATCTATTCAATAAATTAAAAATAAAAATATTTTTTTATAATTAAACACCTTTTGCAATTCGAATTTTACAAGAAAATATCTAAATACAAATTTTCTGAACAAGAGAATCTTGTTGATTACACGAACATTATCATTTAAAATATATATGTATAAAGTCAAATAATTTTATCATTCATCAGTAATCTCATTAATAAATTCCCAAACGTAAGATAGGTACTATTTACATTCCACCGAGTTTCTTAAATCCACATATCTCATGGCTAAAATGTTTTTCTGACTCACTTGATATTCATCATCGTAATATAAGTGGCGCATCAACTGTAAAAAACGCAAGAGCACGCTCCCATGACCAGATTCTTTTTTTTCCCATCCGAAGAGAAATTAACCCTCTAAACGGCTATTAGAGCCGAGCGGTGAGCGTCCGCGTTTTCTCTGAGAATAGACGATCTAATTCTGTGGACGAGAGGAAGCGAGGAACGAGCTGATGGAGCGGGGCGAAGCGAGAAAGACGGACCACCGTGATTGCAATTTTAACGCCAATTTGACTTGAATCTTCTCTGTCCGAAAGAAATACTGTTTTCATGCTCAATATAGCGGCTCACTAATAATTAACAGCCAACTCGTGGCACTTTGCACATACAGGGTGTCTCGATGCGCAGACAAATATATAATTCATAGCGCGGGAGATTTTAAGTTATTCGTAATTTTAAACACTATATTAAGATGCATAAAGTCAAATTAATCATAGTATAGTATTTATATGCATTATGTTTATATTATCTAAATTTATAATAAAATTATAAATAATACTACGTTTAGTTTTATATAAAACTCTATCCTGATTTGTGGATTTACTATAAATATTAATAAATATAAGATATCTATAAATCAATTACTGTATTATTATTAAATTATTATATAGAGATTATATATATATTTATAAAAAATAGCATAAGCCTGTATAATCATAAATTATATTAAATTGGAAATAAATAAATCTTGTTTACTCTATGATGAGTTTCCTTGCTCTAAGAATTATTTTACTTTAAAAATGTTAAATTAGATGAACCCGCATCAATGAAGATTTCAACACACACTTTCAATATTATACTAATCAAATTTTATGAGAAAATTACAGGGAGAGATTATATAATACGATTTTATAATATCATACGTAGAAGTTTTGCAAACGGCGAACATTCAAGTGAAATTCTGCGATACACCGAGTACGTGCACCGAATAGGTCTTACGGCGCTAGCGGGTGGTCCTCATTATGTCGGGTTCCCCACTGCTTACCCCGTCCTATCTATTTAACGTATCGTTTGCCTTGGTAACCATCCAAATTAGCTCATCCTTCTCTATCCCGCACCAATGGCATCGCTCGATCTCGCTCGTGTCCTCCTTAATTATTGGGAAGACGATGTTTAATAACGACGATCCTACCGTCACGGTGTGCCCTAATCGAAAACACTCGTTTCCTGCGAAAGTTTACGTCGTAATGGCGAACAACACCATAGATGATTTATTTAGAATATTATCAGAATGTGATTACACATTTTTCAATTATTACTATTTCTTGCATAAATATACTTTCTAAGAAGATTGAAGATAAGGTCGATGTAATTTTGATTCGTTTAATTATACCTTAATATGAAAAATTCTGTGCAAAAATTTGCGCGGAAGTGTATTACAATTTTTGCAAATTTAAATATCTTGGTGAATACTTTGCGATAAATTTTCAAAAAGTCAGTCCAGGAGGACGAAGTTACGACCTCGCCAATCGGACACGCAAATTTATCTTGGGAGGAAAACGGGATAGATATGCTCACGGAAGCGAATTTAAAAGTCAATGGCCTGTAAACATTAATGCCTCGAGTAACGAAAGATAGCGAAATGCTTTGTTACGCGAGTTTATGAGCCTCTTTATTGCCATCGTGATTTCTTCCCGATTGCCGAGCGTGCAGCTAGCGTAATATCGCGCTGTTGTAAGTCTACCGATTTAGGTGCGGGAGAAGTTAACCGGCGGCGAATCGTCTTATGTATCTCCGCTTCGTTACGTATATATAACACGAGTCCGAGATAATATCGACGGACGAATAACAATTTCTTAGAAAGGCAAGTTGCACGGAAAGACCGACTCAACAATGCATATCTATAATATATTTCGGCTCTAGTTCGGCATCATTAAGTGAAAAGCGAAGCGATCCTATACACTAATTGATCCCCGAGAGACAATCGGGCGTCTGTTTTAGATCGAAAGTCTTCCAAATTTTTATTCGCGATTAATAATTTCGTCTGTTCACCTGGGTCTTTATTAAGCTGATGAACAAACAGACGCGCATTGTTGTCGCGATATTTTGTGTCTAGTGAAGATATGAATAATGTAACGATATAAACTTGTTCGCGTTGCACTGCGGTGCAGCGCGATACGTTTTTGGAATTCGGCATCGATTCCGATAAAGCGGCGAAAATAGACGCCGCGCGGATTTCCGCGCGATGAAATTTACGGCGCCAGCCAATTCCGCGAAAATGGAAGAACGTCCGCGAGGTTTTATTTGGCGGGTACGAATGCGCGGGTGCTTTATCGGCACCCCTATCGGGACTCATTTGTTTTTGCTTATCGCGAAGTTACGTGACGGAGCCACCGTAAATATGACGGACGGGTGCGCGACGATGGAATCTCAGCCGCGCCGTCAGAACAAACGAGCGCCACGGACGAACCCCAAAAATCTCTCCGACACGCGGCGACGCGGAGCGACGCCGACGGCTCGATTTAGGGGCTGAACGTCGAGAGGGAAGTCTCGAGACTGAGAGGGGTTGACGTTCGACTGCGAATCGATATGCCTACCTACCTACCTACATGCGCGAGCAAACTGTACTGGACCAGGAAGACATGGCCGAAATTTTGGAATTTTCACATTTTCGCGTCTCGCATATTCGTTACGATCATGATTTAATACTTACGACTATGATTTCACGCGTTATGTCTTGCATTATTATTGTTATTAATGAATCGTAATTAATCTAGTATAATAATTATGGTTTAATTTTGGAAAGCTGCAATTGGTCATATCAAAATTATTTGAGATATAATAGAATGACGTGCAGAATAAATTGCTTATTAATTCAATAAGAAATGGTACTGTGAAATTTCATAATGTATTAATTTTTAAAGACAAATTCTTGTGCTGAATTTAAAATTAAATTCAATTTTGCTTTAAATCCAATCTGTTGACTAAAAATGAATCGCAAAACAATCTTGTTATTTACGTCTCTTCTTATAATTAAATTAAAAGCAATGCTATGTTTTTAACATGTTATCTTCGTAATTAAATCCCTCAATTTTTAAGGTTAAGAAACAGATAAGGCTAATCGAAGCATTTATCAAAAATACAGTGCGAGAAAAGAACTCAAAGTTCTTTTGAACGTTTTCACTTTGTTCTCACAACGACATTTTATACTAATCCAAACATGATCTCTCCGTTTTATCGGTGCCGTTTAATGCAACGACAATTGAAAACTATCTCATCCGCGTTCTTAATTTTTTTTTCAATCTTAATCACCCCGCCTAATTGCTCAATTGCGCTCATTACCGTCTCCGACGTAGTAAAGCGAGTGGCGATTAAATCTTTCCCTCGTCGCCCCGTCCCCTTCCCTTCGCCGTTCCCGCTCCCGCTCCCGTGACGGCACGTCGCATTTGCACGAGAGAAACTTATCCCTCGGTACAAAAATCGCTGTATAGATAATTCCGCCTGCTCCTGGGTCCCAGCCACGGGGCGGAGCGTCGCGAGGAATGCCCCCGTTAGTAGTTGCCAGCCTCGCCCCGTTCTGATCCTCTCCTTCTCGCTCTATCGTATACGGATTCCCCACTTCCAGGGACCTCTCTTCCGCCGACGAGCGGCACGACCCCACCACGAGCGTTTAGCCGAAGGCAAAACGAAAAATCAGGGCGGTGCTGGCTGAGCGGTCAAACTCAGTCCACACGGAGAGCTCGGCTTGGCTGGAGGCTATCCAGAGCTGCTGGTCAGCGGATCATTGATCCACGAGCTGTCAAACTTTGAACAACTGTATCCCTGGTGTGATCGATGTGCCTCACACGCGTCCCTCTCCGGAGCTGATCGTTTTCGTTTCGGGAGCGAACTTCGGATTTCGAATTCGTGAAAGACCATGCACGAGTCAGTGAAGAGTCATTCGTGAAGCAGTGAACTACGTCGAGTCCGTCGCGGAATGAGCGGATAGCTCTTGTTGAGACTAGAGATATCAGAGCATTAATTAGTTATTGCGGATCCAAGCAAGTGCTAATCGACACAGAACGTAACCGATCGACGTCCAAGAATGACAGTAATAAGGATGACCTCGCCGGTGACGCCTGCATCGACCAGTCCGGATTCGCCAGACGAGGCTCAGGCAAGTCCCAAACCGGCTCATCGATTGAGCTTCTCCGTCGCGGCCCTGCTGGCCGACACCAGAAAGACGTCGGAGTCCTCGAGGAGGCAGGACGCGATCTTAACGTCACCCAGATCGTCGCCGATCGTCTCGTACGCGCCGATCCGACAGGAGCCTCGTATGCTGAAGCATCCGTGTGACTTCAGAACGTCAAGATACACCTTATCGTCGCCCAATCATAATCAAGATGTCAGATTGATTCATTGCATCTCTCCTCATAATAGTTCGGAGCCAAGAACGCCACCGAGATATCCCGAAGCGATCGACTACGCCTGCAATATCGAGTCACCCGGCAGAAGATCGACCTCCGGTAGCGTGGACTACCGCATGCATCCATCCGTCGACATGAGTACCACGCCGGAACCCGCGGTAGGCTGTTCCTCGTCTCCGAAGATCATCGGCAGTCACCAGGACGCCGGCTCGCAATCACCGAGAAGCAGCTCTCACGACGAGGCGCGCTCGAGATGTTCGGAAACGGACGACATCGAAGAGGACGACGAGAGCAGACTGGTTGACGTGGAGGATCTTCAGCATCATCCGTCCAGCCCAACTCCCGTTAGGCCGACACCGGCCTACCTCGGCGGTTTCGCCACCATCGGCGGTATCCCGGAGATCTCGCCTAGTCTTCACCCTGCAGTCTGGGGCGGCGGACATCAAAATGCAGCTGCAGCCGCTGCGGCCGCCGCAGCGGCCGCGGCCACGGCCACATTCTTCCCTTCTCACTTCTCTCATCATGCTCCTCTAAACGGTAAGTGTCAATTTTTATTTTTTTAACAATCTATATGTATTTTTGAAATATTGTTTCCGTTTAAAATATTAACGTCGAAATGATTAATTCGACGTTTTCGTTTCTAAACGTTTTACTCTCTATACTGGTGATGCTAAAGCGAGAAAGATATCACATTTACATTTGAGAGAGAAATCTCATTTTCTTTTATGTTCCGAATAATAAGTTTTCCTATGTAGCCATTAATCGTTTCATTAAGTCATTAATCATTTGATCGTTCTAACGTTATAATTTCAAAACAGTTGAGCTATTTGGCCGTGCAACGACAACTGTGTTTGCGATTGTCTTTGAGCTTTGGCGGAGTGCCAATCGCCCTTGTGTTTCTCGGCAGATTCTTTTCATGGTTCATTGCGGCTAAAGCGATTACGCGGTTACAGACGCGGTTTACGGATGGCAATTTCTCGCTGCTATATAGAATCCAGACAACTTTACTCCTTATCGATACGTAATATTGAACGTGATGATATTCTGAAAACATAAGCTTTGTAGAAGGCTATCTCGTGGTAACAATCACGCAAGTGTACTCTCTCTGTTTACGGTTTTACAACTCAATAATTCCACACATTCAGTATATAATAATTTAATAATTTTTCTATAAGCTTTTAATCGTCTCTAATTCTCTAACATAAATAATTAGCACCAATCGACGTGTAACGTATTCTTTAGCTACTTGACACGATGTCAAATAAATGATTACCTTCAGCACTAATTAGTTAAACGATTTACGATTTACAAAAGACGATTGTTAAAGAGGCAATCTGCGACGTCATTTTGCCACGTCAAGAAACCAACTAGAGACGCAGGATTGAACTTAACTACATTTTGCTCGTGGATTTTTTGACGAAACAATGGGTGATTATCGCAGAAAGGTGTCCCAAGACAAATCGCACAATCGACGAACAAAAATTGATTTACGAACGGCCGCAGCTGAACTCTTCGACCACAGCTGAACGATAGCCTACCGTCGCTCGGCCGGGCCAAACAATTCTCACGTATTCTCACATGATAAATGATTCAACTGTTATAAAAGAATTTTCTCGTGATTCATGGATAAAATATTTATATCTGATATTATTACACAATCAAATCTATCTCGATGCTGATCTATCTTTTCAAACATTTCATTATTTTTACTACCAAATCTAATTAACTTGTTTGTCTCTATATGTTGTTTATTCTGAATGTATGTATCTTTTTATATATACATATATTTCTTTTTAATGTAAAACTTATTTTATAATTAATTTTTAATATCAAAATTGTGTGAGGATTCTCTTTCTTATCAAGTTTTTGTAAATCCTTCGATTATCGTAGATTAATTTATATAACAATGTATAATAGTTCGTATAACAAATGTAGTTATCTAAAAAGCATTCACAAATTAAAAAATCTAAATATGTAATTAAAAATATTTTTAGTTAAATTAATATTTACATGTATTCTAGAAATATTAACACGATTAAAATAAAATTTAGTCTGAGAATAAAAATAGCTTGTGTCTACTGTAAATATAAGACAATCTTAAATAAGATCTCATGTGAAATATACGATACGGGCAAAATGCCATAATTCTGAAATATGAACTCTCGTAGAAGGTATTTTCACAGATCGGCGCACCCCTTCAAAGTTTTACCACCGCTTTTTCATCGTGATTATCTTAAATAAGTGAGATTCTGTACCGTAAAAAAAAATTTATTGACAGTATAAGTGTATAGACAGTTTCATCTTTAAATTGATCAGACAACTTGTATGTAAATAATATACAATTCTTCTGAAAATACTATTTTCTAATATTTGAGTGTTGTAAAGAAAAAATATATGATATTTTTATTAAAGTTGATGCAGAAATTTAAAAAATATTATGTTTCAAATATAACGAGATATCTTAAACGTACAAATTTATTAAAATATGTTTTAGAGACTTGAGAAGTTTCTTAAAATCATTCTCTCTTATTTCTTTTATCTTATACGGCTAAATAAATTAGAATAGATCACAAATTTTTAAAATAAAGATACGATTTCTGATATAATAATATATAACAGCAGATCAACGGTTTCCATGCCATTATTCACTCCGTTCGTAAATATCTGAGAATATGAAATATTTTTTTAAACGGCACCATCGGTACACGAGAACGCAGTGAGGAAATCGAGTACGATTATATCGAGACCGTTAATCCTTTCGATCATTATGCAATGCAATAAAAGACACCGAACCATTCACGATTCTCCCTTTCCAGTTTGCACTACGTCCGATGATCGTTGCATTCGTGGAACACGCCTTATCTCGGCGGAATCAGCTAATTATTTCGAATGCACATTCTCGATCGGTAGTCCCCCCTCCCTTCCCCGCCCCGGATTGAAATCGGTCTCCGCGTTTTTGGTGGCCCCGCGACGCGGAGAGATCACCGGATGCTGAGACTAATTGGAACCCTTAGCGAGCGGTGAGGAACGTATACAAAGGACAATTTCGAAGTAGGATCGAGCATGGGGCATACTATCCGTGTTATAAGTCGAGGCTAATGCGTAGAAAGTCTTGGGACGACGACAGGGAGGAACGAGGAGGATAAGGCGAGGCGAGGTGAGCGAAGGGCGGTTCCGACGACGAATTTGAAATTCAGAAACGGCAACTGCCAAGACGACGACGACGTGGCCTTTTGTCTCGTCGTGATCTCGCTGCCTCGGTACAGAAGCTGTTCACCTCCGCTCTACAAATCTGTCAATTGTCTCGAGACAAATCTCGAGGAATATAACCGATATATTCCGATACCGGACTCCCTGTTATTCCTTTCTGTTCTGCTCGTAGCAGCTCGACGCGTCCTCGATTATCTGAACGTGGCGTGGAGGCATAGACAATGTTCTCTGGATATTGAGCTTTCGGATGCTTAAAATATATGTTGAATATATATGTATATTCGAATAATAATTATTGTCTCCAACTACGTATTGTAGGATTTAAAACAAATGATTGTTTTAGATTTTATGGAAAATTGAAAAATATTATAAATCATTCAAGAGATGCAAAATTTTTCTTGCATCTTTCGCATTAAGTCTTTAATAAATTTTTTGTGAAAATAATTGAAGAGTTTTTTTTATCTGCAGCATCTAAATTCTTGTAATCAAACTTAAGAATTCGGGGTTTCTTTTCGTTTAATAAGACGTTGATATAAATGTAACAAATTCATACCTATTAATAAAATCCGGATTTATCTAAAGAAATTATAGTATGCTCCTGTTGAACACACAAGCTTGTTATGACCATAGCTAACAAAATAACGCAACATTAACCATCGTCGAGCCGTGCAATTAACCGTTGCCGCGGCCGCGTCTTTTTCTAAGCACAGCGAGCGAAGAATACCAAGCTCACACCAACGACGTCTTCCTTCGCGCGAGCAGGCGTTACGATCTGCACTCTTATGCGAGCGGTAGCCGCGGCCCGGCCGTGTAGAAACAATTCGCGGCCGGAATTTTGCGGTCGGGCGGCAAAAAAGTAATGAGGCCAGTTTGCGGCGCCGTTCCGACGGAAAAATTATGAATTGCACCCTAAAAAGACGCGTTTGCCCTCGCCGGGGCTATTCCGTCGGTTCGAGGCCGACAAAAACGGGACATTGCGGTCTCCGGGCCCTTTCCTCCGTTGGCCTACCTATCCCGCGGTACACCTTCGCGAGAGGGACTATCTGTCCGTCAGTTTGTTCCTATGAAGCATAATGCTCGTCGCTGTTCCCGGTGCGCAACATGCACTTCGACTGAAAGCAATGTTCCTTTTTTTTTTCAGAGAACGGCGAGCCGGCTAAGCTCAAGTGCAACCTGAGGAAGCACAAGCCGAACCGAAAGCCCAGAACGCCCTTCACGACCCAGCAGTTGCTGGCCCTCGAGAAGAAGTTCAGAGAGAGACAGTACTTGAGCGTCGCCGAGAGGGCAGAGTTCTCGTCGTCGTTGCACCTCACGGAGACGCAGGTAAAAACTTATTATCAATGCTTCGTGTATGACTTAACGAAAATGTTAAACCTGATATTGATATCAAATTGTCTTTCAACTTAATAGGCAGTAACATTCGCTGCATCATGCGGTATAATTTTCTTAGCTAATAGATATAAATATAATCATAAATATTTGCTATAATAAAACATGCACAAACCATGACTAATTCTCTTTTAAAATTGAAAGTCAATTTCTCTTATCGTTTTATCAGACATCAACATGATTTCGCAAATGCTTGGCGAATAAGCTATCAACTCGTTGAACTTTTGCTGACATTTATTCTATGCCTTATTAAACATAAATTACGTTCATCATAGATTATTACATAGTTTATTATAAATTATTATGATAATTTATAAAGACAGTTTATTAAAGGAAAATCGAATCGCGTTTCATTGAGAATTATAATTTCTCGTTCGTTATGCAATCAAATTAGCACATTAGGTATCCGGCCCGCTGTGAGGATCGTAATTTCTTCGAGATGCGGCGCGCGGCGTCTCCGCTAGAGTCTCAAACTGGCACTGGCGTAAATGCACACTCCACATCTTTCGCCACTTTTATTTCCTCGGTGCCGGGTGCCATTCACGAGTCAAAACAGTCTCCGTGCGCGTCTCTCAGGGCTTAGTTATGGTTAACCGTACGGCGCTGCCAGATGCGCGGTAATTAGCGCGCGTAAATGCACGCTACACCCGAGACGGGCGATACAAGGGAAAGAGGACGGTAATTTTATTAATAGACTACAAATTGCCTGAAACGCGTTTCGCGATAGCACGCGATGACCGGCCAATTATCTCCGGCTGAGATCCCGATTCTCTGGCAGCGATTTCCGAAACGCATTACGCGTGCCTTCGCGCGTACATGAACACGGCGAGCGCGAATCGCGCGCGAGCTCATTTCCGCGCGCAGGCTGCCGCTGCCGCTCCGAAACGATCCGACAACAACTACGCCGATTATTCCGATTAAGATAGACGTCGATAAAATTGCACCGAGGGGTAACGGTTTGTTTATAGCCGCAGATGCGCCGACGCGATACCGCGGATTATTTATCAGTTCCTCTCCTCGACTTTATCGCGATGTCATCAAGACGCCGTTTGCCAAAATTATATCTCGAAAGTGACATTTAAAATCGAACTTAATGTGCTCTGTCTTCCAGTTTATTTTAAAGATTTTAAAGGCGATGCCAAACGCTCAGGCTGCGAATTCCAACGGTCGAACAAACTTACACAAAATTATACGATGCCGTAAAACTGAGGCAATTTATTTCTATTGCACTCTAAACTAGTGCCGGGCAAATTTTCTGTTGATATATGTATCTAGTCAATATTAACAAAGATATCATCAGACATTACTGCTGGTATTCTGTGATAAGCTTTTCGGCCTGTATTAATTTCAGATTTAAAAATAAATTATATTCTATATGTTTAAAATAATTTTGTGTATTTAGTTACTTTTCTATGTTTGTTTTTTCTACATTAAATATAATGTCACTCGTCGATAATGCGTACGAATTGGAAGCTACATATATCTCAATGTCGTTTCATATCTCGAATAAATAATTATTAAATCATACCCAGAATATTTGCAGACGCCAGTAACCATATTCCGTATTAATCATCGTGTCGGAAATCATCACCTTATAAATACGCCGTTGTAAAGTCAAATTGATTTATTGTTGTAGGTGAAGATCTGGTTTCAAAACCGACGTGCCAAGGCGAAGCGTTTGCAAGAAGCGGAAATCGAGAAGCTGCGAATGTCGGCCGTGAGACAGCACCACACGGCGCTCTACGGCTCGCACCCGGGGATCTTGACTCACGCGGGACTTTATCCCGTAGGAATGCTATCTCATCCCGGATTGACTCACCACGCAATCGCTCAGCATCCCGCGAGGGAATGAGAGCAATAATGTTCGATACTGGTTCGAAACCGGTTGAAAGGATCTGTCATCGAATCTCACGTCCCGAGGAATGATTTCGACTGCGCGAAAAGGACAGACTTTTTAAAAATTACGCGATTACGTTGACAAATGATCTCGAGAAGAGGAGGGGAGCAGGGAGAGAGAGAGAGAGAGAGAAAAGAGAGAGAAAAATCTCGTCATCGGTTTTATACTTTCCAGTATTAGTTTAATAAAGAAGTGAAGACTCATGAGTCTGTGAAAAAATTCGTCTGTGCCAATGTCGCCTGTCCTGAAAAGACTGGAAATTATTGTAAATAGAATTGTAAATATTACTCATGTACCACGCGTTAATTACTTTGTACATAAATACCTAGTGACTTATTCGAGAAATGGGGTTACATTTGCATCGTCGAATGCAAATAATAAAACGAATGAATCTTTATAGTTTGGAGAAAATTCTTTTTCCAATTTTGTATAAATGTAAAGCAAACATAACGACGATCAGGAGAATTTATTTAATAAATTGTATTATTGTAAACACCACAATTTATTCCCCTAAAATCCTTTCTTTCGCCTCAATGAAGAAAGTCTCGGTCAGAGTCAATGCAAAAATGAATGCAAAAATTAAATTACGAATTAATATGTTATATAATGTGCTTTTTTCTTACGGGAAAATGAATGAAATTTCAGCATTATTCGTTTAAAAATAAAATATTTCAATAATTTTGAAATTTTTTTTTTAATAATGAAAACTTATTAAAAGTTTGATGTTTCAATTATGTTATATTACATAATTAACAAAAATTTTTATTTTAAATTAAAGTTTGATAAAAATATAATGTCCGTTGCGAATAAAAACAAATAAATTGACATTGTTTCTTCATATTTTTCGAATCTAGTTTTAAAGTAAATTTCATATGCAAATTTTAACAATTTTAATTTTCGATCCTGAACGATTCTAACAGCAATTTTGTAAATAACTTCTTAATTAGGTCGTTCATTTTCATCGAGTTTTCATCAAGGTGTCACGAACAGGAAAATATCGATAGTGAAACATCGGGCATATAATTGTATGACGGAAGCTATCTACCTCGTTCAGTTCCAGACAATAATGTACCATGCTCGATACGGTAATCGATTCAAAGTATGTCCTTGTCTAATTGTAAGTTTGAGCACCTACATGAGGAGGTCGTCCGTGCGGATCTCCGTCGGCGTACGGCGGGCGGCGGTGATTACGCGAGCGCGATTACGCGGTATCCGAGAATGGCGTCTCTGTGCGTATATGTCGTTGGGATAAATTAGCCGTGGCAATTAGTTTCGGAATCGACCTCGCCGGGTGGTTGGCGCCACCATCTTGATTGCGCCCCGGGAAGAACCTTCGAAGACAGTAGCCAGCACTGTTTGCCGAAAGGCCCGCGCCGTTCGCGCGGGCTAATTAGCGATGCCCACCGAGATATCGCCGACATGCGCTAATAATACCAAGCATAAATATTCCGAATTTTTTCGTCTGGTGGCCCGTCCGCCCCTGCTCAGCCCCCCTTTCATCCGCGAGCGGCCGCCCGAGATATATCATTTTTGCATTAGTTAATTGCAGCTTTGTTCCGCGGCTCTTCCCGGCACTTCAAGCATTCGCAGATAAAAGGATCTAGGAGATCAGACATTTATGAAGCCAAACAGAAATTCTAGGAAGTAAATTTGTGGAGTCGCGCAGTGCCGTAACCATCGTCGTGCGAGAAATATGAGAGTATTATGGAACACAATGGAGATAACACTAAAATAGAGTAAGCTAACTATTGTGCTGCCTCGGACAGCAACTTATTAATGCAAAATATAGTTAGCTGAGTTAGCGTGTGAGAAAGCTGAAGTATTAAATATCCTACATCATTATATAATTGTACACGGAAAGAACGATTTTGTTGAAAGGTCTTAAAATTTTGCTAAAAACAGATCTGAAAATAATTTTTTGTTGAATCATCAAAATAATTTGTTAGAATGTTAAAGCTGACAAGCATTGCTATAAAACGTGATATTCTAGCAATCACTTTGACTTTCGCACAAAATTATTTTGATTATTGAACAAAAATTATTTTCAGATTTGGATTCAGCAAAATTGTTCTTTCCGTGTATAAACGTTATTTACGACAATTAATGCATTACTTATAAAAATTGAAGCTGCACTGCGTTTGTCAACAGCTCCATTTTATCTTCCAAAGATTATAGCTGTGTACAAATACACATATAACAAACTTGTAAATTCATAATCAATTTTATCTTATCGTCCTCATGATGCAACCAAAAGTTAAACATCCTCATAGGAATATATCATCTGCCATTTATAGCGCAAGATTAGACGGTATTCACGAAGTAATTTTTGTGACTGAATTAAAATTAATGAACGATATGATAATAAAATCTTTCTTGAGCTAACCGCATAAACTTCACTGGGGGAAATTGCTTGTTAGATGCCTTTTCGTAGACCTACGATACACTTTTAACTATCTTTTTAATTAAACTTAATCTGTGTAAGTCGTCACGAAAAAAAATCCCGCGTTGGAATATTCTTCGAAGAACTGGATGATACGTGCCTGAATTTTAATCGCGCAATTAGTCGCCAGTCATTACTGTCTGCTTCGACCACTGTTTCAGGAAAGTAAGATAACGTCAGATCGTATCACGCGAGCTACCGTATTGCTTGTTAGATTTTATTATGAAGACAAATCGTTCACATACTTCCCTACTTCTTGCGTTAAAAAACATATCAAATTCTTACACATCTCATATTTTAATTTTATATGATAATATTTATATAATATATACAATATTTTACATTTAGCATCTTTTAAGAATATGTTTATTATTAATATTAATTGATTACATATATATCACACATATATTATTTATATGTACTATTAGACATTTAGAATAAAGTGACAACCAATGTATTTTTATATTTCTTATCAAGCTCTCTCAAACACATAAGATAAAAACTAACGTATTATTCAAAAAATATATTTTTTATAACGTATCATATAGCTATTCTAGTAGCGATCAATGTTTTTATATAAACTTTTAATTTTTAAATTTCTACTAAATATATACGTATCATAGATTAGTTATATATCGACAAATGTCAAGTCACTTGGCGATAATTAGATCAGAAAGTTATCAGTTGTCACAAACTTGTTTAATGTTTTACACCAAATATCTCACATTAAATTAAATTGCAATCAATTAGAAAATATAAGAATTTGATATATTTGATAAATTTTTAACGTTTCCATGAGAAATGCAGTTCAATTATATTTATGTATGCTATTATTGATGTCAGAGTAATGACAATTTACTGACGTCAAAATTTAATTGCCTTTTTCACAAAATCAATTATGGACATTTTGCAACGTTTTACATTTTTATGTGTACCTCATTTCCACAATGCCTATACGATAAGGCTCGACAAAGTTCAATCGAATATCGGGTCAAGATCTTCTCACAATTGATTTTAAAATGGAGATTAATTTACATTTTAAATGTTCTGAATGCAATTTGGATTTTATAAATCACCATTAAGTTCTATTATACATTTCATATAAGTCATTGTTTACACTTAACGTACTAAACAAATGCGTTCACACATAACGATCTAATGATGTGATTAAGTAATAGTATTATTAATTAGAATTTTCAAATTAATATAATAGTCATGTTATATTAATTCAAAATAATAGAATATATATATATATATATATATATATATATATATATATCTCATATATACAATAAATACAGCAATCGAAGTCAGTTTGTCTGTATTTGTCTAAAAACTTACATAACTATAGCATATTTAATAATGTATTGTGATTAAATCATCAATTTTCTTCCAATTATGGAAAATAATTTGAGTCACATCAGCATTTTCTTCAATTATGGAGTAAATGTTAATGTGACACAAATTATTCTCCATAAGAAATAATTGCATTGGCAATATGTACAGTTGCACTGTTGAATTGCAACATTATGTGTAAACTGCTTGATTGAGCCAATGTAAATCAATGAAACATCTCAATATATATTGACGTAAACAACGATAATTAATAATATTTAAAATATCGTTATAATAACACTGTCACATGTTTTGACCTAGCCACATATATCACATGTATTGCACGTGAATGAACACTGATATACATATCAGTCCGATATGGAGACCTAACGACCTAGCAATCCAAGGACTAAAAAATCAAGACCCTAAATTTATTTTAATTAAGATTTTCAATGCATATGTTTATTTCACTCTGAGTGTCCATTGCAGCTTATAAATATAAGAAAGTATATATCCTTCACTCAATCGTCGAATGTTTTAACAAATTTTAAATTAATTAGTTCAATTTTTATCTAAATTTTTATCGAATCATTGTCGAACGTTTCCATCTCCTTTACATATAGCTTAAATAACAAAACTTTCCTTTTTTTATATTAAACGTCTGTTGTTAATCAGTTCCCCGATTAGTACATGGAATTATTAACGCAAAAGAAAAGTAATTACATAGTCAATCGCTGCGTGGAAAATCTATGAGATCGGAAGAGAACACGATGGTATCGCTTTGCGATAAAAAAAAAGCCTTCTGCAAACTCATCCCGCTTTCGTTATTAAATAAAAAACGATGGTTGCCAGAAATATATGCGAGATCGCGATCCATCAATATCCCTGCCATGCGACGGCGTTTTTATCGCGTCGACTCATTTAAATGCTGAAGTCCGCCTACGTCACTCAAGGTGAATCGTTGTTGTCGTCACTATCGATCGTTAACTGTAATGATTTAATTAGCGTACCTTTTCGTAGAGAGCCGATACTCGCCGAGGCACGGTCGCGTCTCTCGCCGCGACTCGGCTTGTGTTTTTCAATCCAATTATCGGCATTACGGCGCGATCAAAATTATCTGTTGTCGAATTAATGCGCGTGTCCCGCTTTTCGGAGACGCGACGGGGGCGGGGTGGAGTTTTAATGAGCGATTAACCCAGCGTTACGCAACGAAATTAATTATCTGCCGATAAATGCCTTCCACGGAGGGTGTATTAACGATCGCGATAAACCCGCGTGGCAGAAAACACGCGACGGTACAGATTGCAGATTATTTCGTGCCGCTAAACAAACGGGACCGCATCGAGTGTTTAGACCGCGTCGCCGCTTCATAATCATCGCCTAACGACCTCGAAATGCGGAAATGGACAAGCGAAGAAAATGGAACGCGAGAAATATCGCGTTCTTTCAAAAAATCGAATGAATCGGACGCCTTGATATTGTTAATTCAATCTATAAAAATCAAATAAAACGGCCTTGTTTCTCTATAACATAATTTTCTATAGACTTCAGATTTATTACGCATGACTTCTGTTCAAAAATAGCTTAAATTGCGGCTTTATTAGCGTCAAGTTTAAAAACAATCTGGAGCAATCCATATAATTGATCGTAATTATATGTATATATAGACATATATATACATAATTAAGTCTTTATTAATATCGATTAGCGAAGTAGAA